TGTTTAGCGTTATGTGTGACTAAAATAGTCATGATTAAATTGTTTGGAGTTTTGGTTTGGATCTGATTCCAAATAAACCCATGATATTTATACAAACTGACCTAGTCTGGAAATCTCGTAAAACCATCTGCCTTATAAGATTTCCAGTATCTAATTGTTTGTGCCCAAATGCTTGACTGTGCAAGCATTTTCTGGGAATCTGGCTGAAAAGAGATTTGGTTAACAATTGGAAAAATAGTACTGGAATCCTTGGCAAAACAGCATCTTTCATATTGATATGTTTTGCCTATCCATCCTAGAATTTTGGTTCTATTAGCAGCAAGCAAGGCTTCCTTAATTTCAAAAGCAAAAACTTTGTGGGCTTCCTTAAACTGATCATAATATTTTGATTTCCTGTGTAAGGAAAAGGCTGACTCTAAGCTGAGAAAGGAAAAGTTTCACTGCCTTGCATTGTGGCGTTCCAAAAAAGCCCTATGTAAACTGAATATAGAAAGGATAGAAACATATTTTTGTATAGGCTGACTTTGCAGATACAGTAATCACTACAGTAGTTGGCCTATGGAGTAATATTGTACTCTTGGGGCTTCCTTTAACTGATGAGATTGGGTTTGCTGCTTTTATTTCTGTCATTATTTCACATTTTGTGAGTATCGTAGGTGGAGGCTAGTGAAGTCAGAATATACTTAAAGCTCTTTAATGAAGAGAGAGTTTCAAGACTGCAAGCATTAAACATACCATGGTGTTGCACAAATGCACATGGAGAGAGGCTGTCTTGGCGAAAGCTGGCTCTTTATTTCTTTCCCATGGTTATTTTTTTTTTTAAGTTGGCTTTATTACAGCAATTAACTCTGAGTGGAGCAGTATCACTCACCTGCTCATGACACCTTCTGTTTAAATTGTTGTTTATTATCCTTTCAGTTGTCTAGTAAAAAGGGAGGAGATAAAATTTCTCTATAGTCCCCATGGTGGTTTGGTTCGAGGTATCTTCTAATGAGTGAAATATGACCTGTTAGGGAGAGAGGGAGATAAATTAATTTAATCTAAACAAAAGAACTCTATAGAGTGCTGGCTGGAAAAAAAATGCAGTGAACCCTGAAATATTTTTATTAGTATTTGTTGTAAATAGGAATGCAAGTGCTGGTCAATGAACATTGTATTGTACATACATCTCATATCCCCCACCAAAACAAACAAAGAATCAAAATTAAAAGCAGTTAAATATTGACAGGTCTTTGTACATGCTGAGCATCTAGATTAAAATAAATTCTCACTCCTTGTAACTGGATCTGCCACCTCCTTGCTGAAACATCAAACTGGCATTTACAGCTGTGAATAGCTTCCCCAGGGCTGTTCCAATTACACTTGACTCGAATAGTGTGTTACTTTCTCATTAGCTATTAGGGCCCTGCAGTATGCAATCACTTTTTCATATTTTTACCTCACAGAGAGAGTGGGAAGTGTTTTATCTGAGAAACAGTGCAGCGTACCTTTCCCCTCTGTGTGAGAGTGGCTGTACTCCATCTCAGCCTGCCTTTGATCATTTTTTCAGGGAATCTATGAAGGTTTCTCTAAATGGTTGCAATCCAGGATGAGCAGTTTTGCAGCTTCTGATACACATAGCAGGCTAGCTGCGTAAATTCTGTGCTTGTGTCACTGCCACAAGGGCACTGACATATGTGAGTGGGGACTAGATTTTACTGCTTTCTCATGACTTCAATTATATACGTTGATTATTTGATACCGTTTGGTTTTATGTTTTGTTTTTTGTTTTTTTTTCTGAAAGGAAGGTTCAGAAAAGGGAGAAATTAAAATGACAAAAAAATTAATCGGTAGAATGTTCTCAGGCAGGCACTGAAATTGTGCTATACTTGGCAGCTTGGTCTGGTTTAACAATGAGTTGTTGTTATTTAATGACAAAACTTGGCATTTCTGAATTCATACTCTATAAACAAATGATTGCTTTTTCCCAAAAGTGCACGTTGTTTACAATTTGGATATTTTTAATACCAAAATGATTATGACTTACAAATTATTAAATGAAACTTCATTTTAGTTGCTTTTTATTGAAATGGTTGAGGGAATTCTGTCATCACAGTCAGTGCTTTTAGTACTTGTGGCAAGTTTCCACTGAAATAATTACAGCCTTGGTGAAGTTTTTACAAGCTTGGAAATCTTGGAGTTGAGAGCACATTTCTTCTATTCTATATGTTTCTATTTCTAATGGCACAGTGTGGCACAACTATGAATATCTTCTTGTCAGATTTTTTTAATAGTCTTGAATTTGAGTGAAAGATGGTTTTTGACTTGCAAATGTTCTCAGTATTTTAATTCATGTTATGGAGAAGGAATTTGCAGGTGCAGAGAAGGCAGTATGCAAAACCAGAACATTTTCTGCTGTAGAAGAAAGTGGGAGCAGCCACTTAAAAGCCTATTCATTGTGAACAAGTTTTTTGTTGTTTTTTTTCCCTCTCCCCATTTCTGTTGCAGCTGTTAATTTAGGTTGTTAAATAACTGAAATGAATCAGTATACTGTTTTCTTTCCATCACATACTATTACTGTATTTCTACCCCATTAAACTAAAAAAGGAAGGAAAAGATAAGGGTGAAGATGAAAACAAATGAAATTTCCTGAAATTTTCAGGCAAGCTGGGAAGAAGGTGACTACTTCTACTTGTGATTCACATTTTGATGATAAATCTACCTATACCTTTTCTAATTCCCTTACCAAGTGACCGTATGGGGTCCAGAAAGATGCATTGGTGTTGCAGGTGGGATTTGTTTATTACTGTTACATCTTTTGCATGATAATGACAGAGATTTCAAGTAAGCTTTCTTTGTCTATTAGTGTGTATGTGACTATGTATGAGAAGATTAAGAGGATAAAGGAGGAGAAATTTTCCTCATTTAGTGTTGCCAATAATTTCTTGTTAAAAACATTCTTTGTCAGTTCAACTAGTAGTTAGATCTTACATTGCTTGACACATGAAATTTGAGTAGATCACAGAAATAAGGATGCAATTTGTTACTTGATACTCCAGGAACTGGTAGGAGAAAGGATATTCACTACTTACCATATTTCTTTTCTTTCCAGTGTTGAGTTAAACTATGGCTTGTTTTGAATGCAAAGTAGTACAGCTAACGAAGCAAGTTTTGGGAGCCAACCTAAATTTTAATTTTGTAACCTGGCAGGATACCCGAATATGTTGAATTGTAGCCACTAAAACAGGAGAACCTATATTTTTGATGCCAAGAAAAACAAATTTGACAGTTATGAGATAAAAAGTGTAAACAAAGTGAATCTTTGTGTATGAAAATATTTTCCATGGTTGGCACTTACCTTGTCTTAGGTTGAGTTTTAATAAAGAACTAGGAATTTCTCTACACTCAGCAGTCATCTTTCTGCTCTATTCTGGAAGCTCTACATATGCTCTACTCTCGAAGTGTTCTTCTGTAACTTTAGCAGAAGCAGCTTTATACATTGACAGCATTATATTTAGTCCATTAAGTCATATTAATCTCACAACTGGACCTCACAACTTGATAACTTTTCAGTTGATGAAAGAACTTCTTTTGGTTGTTTTAAGGTCTCTTCCTTTGTCTCCATATATTTTCCTATATAATACCTGGATTAAATCTTAAACCCCAAATTTATTTTTCTTTTTGCTTCTGAATGATTCTTGGGCATGTACTTGGGGTTTTAGAGTTGTGTTTCTTTTACAGCCTTAATTTGCTTTAGTGAAGTGTGGAAAAATACAATTGGATTAAATTAATCCTTTTCAGCTGATGTAAATATAAGATGGATATGGACAATGGCTATGCTTTATTTATGTTATGTGTAACAATTTTCAGTAACACTTGGATTAAAAAGTTGCCAAATCTCTCTGAGATTTGTTTTTACAAAAATCCCACCCCATTCTGGCAGTGATACAGTATATATATTGAAAATGAGACTGTAGCAGGCAGTGGAGTTCGTGTGCGGTAACTCTCACCATTTACATTGCACTATTTTATACTGATTAGCATTGCAGTCATACTTTTTCAGGGTGGTGCCACTTGATTGAATTGGGCAATTTCTGTAGAAATGTGTTTTAATTTCATAATCTGTTAGCATTCATCTCGTTATTGATTTAAACTGCTGAAAGTAATGTCTTGATTTACTTTCTTGTTTGAAGTGTGGGCAATGCGTAATGGGATCACTGAAGGAGGAATGTATTGTATAAATGTCAACTATTACTGGTTTTCCCTGGAGAATATTTTTGGACTGATTTTGAGGGGAACACCTTCCCCTGGACAGATACAGAAGACTTTGAGAAATTGGTCGAGGCTTCCTGACTAATAGACTCATGATTCAATTGACTAGTTCTGGCATATGTCAGAATCACAGAAACGGCTTGCAAAATAAGCAGTTTGTAGTCAGAACCAAACACACATGGTTCTTTCAGAATAAGGACACTGTTCTTTTGCTTTTTATATAATACTTCTAATGTCGGGGTCTCTATGAGGGGGAGCATGTATCTGGGCTAGTACTATGTTTGCAGGGAAGATATGCTGGCTTTTCTGATGCTTGATAACCATAAGGGACCAGAAAGAACAAGAACAATGGTGGGTATAAGTCATTTTAGTAATTACTAATAGAAATGGTTGCACTGTTTCTTTGTGAATAATGGTTTTGTTTTTGTTTTTGTGGGTTTTATTTTGTCAAGCAGATTCTATACAGTTCGCTACAGAGAAAAGGATAAAGACAAGAAATGGGTTTTTCAGCTTTGCCCAGTTACAGAAACGGTGGTGGACAATCTGAAGCCCAACACAGTATATGAATTCGGAGTTAAAGACAATGTAGAGGACAGTATTTGGAGCAAGACTTTCAATCATAAGACAGTTCTGTCTAGTAAGTACTTGGCAATAATTAATCAAATAGCTACCCAGTTTGGCAGTATTTTTTTCTCTACTGTGGTATTACTTAAAGTAAGCTACTGATCAATTTTCATTGTTTAAATGCTATCCTTTATGCCCCTAATAAATTCTTTTAGGAACTGGTGAAACTAGAAATAATTTGTGTTTGAAAAAGTGGCATCTACTATTCTGAAAGGTGTTCTCATTGCAAATAGTAGAGGATTTGCTGCAGGTTGGTAGAACTCTCAACAGCGATTAGTTTAGATACACATGAAGTGTTGAGTACGTGTATTTATAGTTCAGACTGGGTTCCAAGTTTTCCTTTTGGCCTTAGATAATAAGATGACAACTAATTTGATTTGATGGAAAGTATTATCTTTGTTTGAATCTTCTTTTATATTTGCTTTTACATTCAAGCTGGTTAAAAGCTAGACAGTGCCTGTCCTATCCAGCAAGCATCACAGTGGCCCCTTTATGACTGCTGAAAGTTGAATTTGAAGCTCATTTTCAGTCAAGGAATTATATAAATTGTGTTTGAAGCATGTGCTCTCATGTATACTTTTGTTTGGGTTTTCGTGGAGGCAGTGTATGGCATCTCTGGCTGTTCTCTCAGTTGTATTTTAAGCTTTTTCTCCATAGTCCCAAGAAAATGTGGGCAAAGTGACATTAAATTAACCCTTGAAAAAACAGGTACTGCTCAAAGAATCACTGCTATCAGTGGAGGAATTAGGCGTAAGCAGAATTTTCCTCCTTTTAAGGAGAGGAAGAGAGGACTTAACAGACATTATCCAATTTCATTTATTTTTCTCAAGCATTTACATAAAGGTATTGGTCAGAAGATGCTGCAAACTCCTGTGCTCAGTGTTTCTAGCTTGACTTGAAATGTGAAGAGTAGGAATTCTCATGACAGCTTTATTCATATGAGATTTCCAGCTGAAATTTTATTTGGACCTCAGTTTCAAGTTTTAGGCGAGAATATATACTTGAGGATAAGGGAGGGGAGCAGTAGGGTGTCTTGTAGCACTGCAAAAGCACTTATACTCCCTAAAAAAAACTTTTCTGGCCTTCATCATAAATTAGAAAGCTGTAATTTTGAAGTCCCTGCCCAGTGCCTATAGAGTCATTTTAGCTGTCCAGGATAATGCCATTGTTATACCTTGAGCTTGAAGTGGAGAATGGTAGTAGTCTTTACCCATGCCTGCCTCACAACAAGAAATTGCTTCAGAGCTCTGAGGAAGGCTTACTAAATGGCTGTTTTCCCAAAGTCATCTGTAGAGCAAATGCTGGAATATATTTGAGCACTTAAAATAGGAGGGAATGAAAAGTGCATAGTATTTATAGTTTAATACCATGTTAGAGACTTACTGAAATGTCCACTGCCATCACCAAATTTGCTCTTTGTATATAATGCATTTCTAAATGCTGTTTCTTATAGACACTATAAATTTTTAATAGGACAGAAGAATCATTCTTGTAAGTTACAGAGAGAGATTGAGTTGGGTTCAAAAATACTTTCTTGTAAGAATTTGAATTCTATTTAGATGAGATTTCTTTTTCCTAGAACGAAGACTTGCATATTGAGTGGGTGTTTCTGCAGCAATTGAATCCAGGGAGCTTGCTGTTAACCTGTATGTCCACATTCTGGTCTACTGATAGAATGTCTTGTAATCAGAAAATTGACAGCACCTGTCAGATTCAAGCCTGTTGTATTGTCAGTGCACAGTAGGTAGATTCAGAAACTGTGGACAGTAAACAGAACAAACATTTATGATAAATTTGTAACCATCTGTCTGCATAGTGTGCCAGCCAGCAAAAATGACCACCTCTTTTCTTTTTAAATTACTGTCTTGTAGCAACTCAAGGTCTTTTCATATATTAAGAAGCATCTCAAACTAAACCAAACATCCTTCTCTGTAAATTTTCTCTCCTCACCGAAGAATGTATAAATGACTATAAACTGAAATTCCTGTTGCGTGTTCTTGTGTTTGTTGAATCCACAGGCCAAATTTCTGTTATATACTAAACATGTTGTGAGGAGTTTGGAGGAGAATCTGGTTTTAATTCATTATTTGAGAAAGACATAAAAGGCATGGCAAATGTTCAACATTTATTTAACCAAAATTAATAAAAAGGGATGAAACTAGATTATTTCTGACCATCTTAACATTACTTTCTCATGAAGTCAGTGTGAAGTTTTTGTTGGTTTTCCCTTGGTTTTGGGCCAATAGTAAGTTCTATTCCTGAGAAATATTAAGCATCCTGAAATATTTTTTTTTTAATTTTTTTTTTTTAGGATAGCATGTTAAATTGCACGTCTCTTAATTGATATTTCTTTATAGTTGGAATTTTTTCTATTGCTTATCTGTTTGGGATGGAATTGTGAGGAAATATGATAACATTTACCTTGATTCTTGTTTACACAGAACAGAGTGTAATCTTGTTATTATAATCTTGTGCCTGTTGATGCAAGGGGACCAGAAAAGTGTAAAGGTGGAAGATGTAGACAAAGTTTGAATCATCATACTGGAATATAAGAGGTGCTGGGAGGGACTGTTCCTCCTCTGTCCTTAAGAGCTGCATCACAAGAAGCTTCTAATACTGACATGCTAAGAGGAAAAACCTAGGAGAAGAATTTCAGAGATTAAATGCATGGGTTATTTGTTCATATCTTGAGATAAAGGAAACCATGTCAGAACCAAAGAGAAGTGGTATGCCTGCTCTTGTATTGCCAGTCATAAATGTGTATTTCTTTTAGAAGAGTGTACTTAAAAGCAAAACTAACTATTGGAAACCTTAAAAGTTTGCTAATTTACCTAGCTATTGAGATTAATAAACTTGGTTTGCTTTGCTTTGGACAAAACGAAAAGTAATTATTTATTTCTCTTTCTATCAAAGCAGATAAAAAAGTAAATGGACAACTCCAGAATATGTACAAGTTGGTACCTAGTTCCCAAACACAGGTATGCAAAACAGTCTTATTTTTTATACCAGATTTGTATTTTGTATAGTCAGATTTTTGCTTCTCTATTAAAGTGAGAAAGAGATTATGGTCACAAATTGCCAATATATATTAAAAAAAAAGTGATAAATCTAAGGTTAGATAACTGTATGGAGAAGTGTTTATATGTGTGGACTGGTATATGACTGAGAACTTTAGCTGAGATGATGACCTATACTGATTCTAGTTTAACAAAGATGCAGCTGATGATTTCCGTGTGTGGATTCTAAACATTAAAATTTGCTTATCCCTTTGTAGAAGTCAGGTTTGTTAATGTGTGATATTTGTAGTGGTCAGTGCATTTTGTGATATGATAACGCTGTTATTTTGCACAGTGATCTTGTGTATACCCAGGTCTTCTGAAATCATTAGTTGTTCCAGTGAATTAATTGATAGTTCTCATATGTGAGGCAAGTGTTTGCAGAACCAGAGGAAGCTGGAAAGGGCATTTTAATTGGCTTATCAAGATTGCTAGGCGGTTCATTAAGTCCTTGCAGGTGGCAAGGTAGAATTTTTAACTGTTTCATCAAAGCATTTGAAGATTTTTGTAAATAAAGAAATAAAGAACAATAATTATTAATTTCCTCTTTTTTTTTTTCCTCATCTGACATTTGCCATAAGAGTTATCAAGCAAGCATGGGAGGGTTTCGTGTGTTCATGGATTCACATACACAGATACTTTTTGCTCCCAGGAGCTGAAGCAGAAATGAAGGATCCGTAGATGGAACCTGTTAGTTGACTAGTTTAAATAAAGTGAAAACCAGACATTTTATTCATGACTTTTGAACATTACATCCTCTATTAAGAGATTAAATTGGTTTCTTCATATTTCTTTTCCTTATTTTTTCATCAAAGTGCAAGTTTCAGCAGCTAATCTTCTGAGTTTCTTTTTGTTTGCTTTGTTTTTAAGGTACTATCCAGGAGGTAGACTATGGGATAATTTCCCAAGAAAAATTGTAGAAATCCTTGTTACTTCAGACATTTTAAAGAGTTGATTTATGAGTGATTATTATTATAAGGGAACAATCATTCTTCACAATTCTCTTCTACCTCTGATTTTCCAAGTGTTTTCATGGCAGGAAATAGTCATGTGTGGTTTCTTATTGTTCATTCTTCGTATTGTACAATATTGTAAATGGTCTGTAATTATCAGACCTGGAATTCCTTCAGGAATCAAACCACAGCCCATTACATACATTTTCTTGTAGGAATAATTAGGTATTCATTTAGAACAGTAATACTTTTGCGTTACAAACAGAGTTACAACAGCATAATGCTTAGGTTACTGGAAACATAGTAATGTCTCACATTCAAGAGAAAATGTTTTATCTGTGAGGAATATGAAACCAGTTGATTAGATAGTCAGGAAGGTGCTCATCTCATTATGTTGTTGATGAAACCAGCTTTAATGTTCTTCCCATTGGTCCCATAAGCATCTTTAAAGTTTACACGTGACAGCCCAACACCAAGTAATTCATTCTGACATCTGGAGTGCAAGCTGAGTTCCTTTCTTCCTCTTAGAGAACCTGTGTACCAGGACCCTGACTCTGTTATGCCAGTTCTGTGGAAGTAGGGATTCTACTTATGCAAGAGAAGTCCTGAGAAAGTGAGCTAAAACAGTGTTCCAAATATTTGCACAGCTTAAGCATGAAAGGAGGACTGGGCCAACATCTAGTCTTTTTAGTCAGCTTCACAGGGCTTAGTTCCAGAGCAGTTCTGCTTTATCACCCTCCGCAGAAATATCATGAAAACATTCCGTAGATTATTCTAAAAATTCTCTTATCATTCTCACTTCAGTGGTGCAAAAAACCATAAAACTGAGGCTGGGAAGCAGATAGTGGCCAGCTCTTAAGGCTGTGTTATTACTTCAGTTTCCACAGTATTAGGTGGGGCATGTTTCAGTGGTGCAATCGCATCATCAGTGCAAAGCCAGAATGAGTGTTATTTAGGCCAAGATTTGTTTGTGTGTTATTTTGCTCCAAAGACACAACTGGCTCGTATCAGCATGATTCTAACTCTTCTCTGTAAAGAGACATTTTAAAAGGCTGTTTATTAAAGCAGCATTACCCATCCATCTAGTCATTCTGCCCTTTCAACATCAGTCACATATCAGCTTGTGTTTCTTTTGGCAGGTTCGCCCTTTAAGTTTGACTAAGCTCCTGGGGGTTTGTGAGCTGCAACTAATGACTGAGGGGAAGAAAAGGAGAGCTCTGGGGACTGTCATTCTTTTTCCCTTCATAAACAATGAGTGGTGGTAGGGTGGAGAGAATGCAGTAGAAATTTATTTCCTCTTCTGTCTGATTAGGTTCCTGTAATTTCATAATGTCAGTCTGAAAGACTGTGTCCTTGTTGATTCTTCCAGCCTAAAAGCAGGACTCTCATCTTCTACAATTTTTTAAACTCTAGAAGAAAACGTGCTTTCTCTTCCAAAACTTCCAATCCAGGTTGACTGTAATGCTTCCTTGAGGAGTCTCTTACATGTGTGCCAGTTATTTGTGACTTTTTGCAGTATTGGAATGTAAGAAAGGCAGAGAGAATAAGTGTTTCTAAGAGTAATGTTTTCGTATGCTGTTTGACAGAAAGTGTGAGAACTGCAGTCCTTTATGCCATATGCTATAGATATATGGTCAGAAGTTAAGATGCCTGACTTATGGTATAACTTACATCTCTAATTTTCCTCTGAAATTAAGAAATGCCTTATTTGCCATCTTCATTCATTCATGGAGATGCCACAGTCATTTTAATAACTAGCTTTCCTAATACCTATATGCTTTATATTCTGTCTGGAAAATACAGTTAAGAATGCCATTCCTACAGATGATATGCTGAAGTTTCTGAAATAGTGTGTCCAAGTAGTAAATTATACTAGGCATAGAAATATCTACAGTAGTCACTATTTGGAGACTGAGAAAGAGAGCATTGACAACACAGTGGTAGCAATTGCAGATTGGTGCAGGTGAGCAGTGTAATGACAGCACCTGTGGAACATGGATTTCATGTCCATTATTTGATCTTGAGTGAAAACCTAAATTTTGAATGTATATTAATGTATTTAGCATTTTTATATTGCTTTCACTACAGTCATCCATTATTATTCAACAAAGAAAAATGCTCTTGTCAATATAAGAACCTTTTACCAGTAGAAGGACTGATAATAATTATGATTAGAAGTCCCGCACTGGAGTTACAAAAGTGTTCACTACAATTTGAGAGCTCTTTATTTGATTGTAGGGCTCCTGATGAGAAATAAAATAAAATGAACACCACCTTCTGATAAACACATTTCATCCCACTTGTTAGTTACATGAATAGAAGGGTTACTTCAAGAGCTGATCATCTGCAACAGATTTTTTTTCACTGGAAGGCAAAATAGAAAGGTAAAGCTTGTTGATAATAAAGGAAAAATAGTAAGCAATAAAAAAGGAAGGTTATTTTTTATCTTTCATTAATGACAATGAAACCTCCCCTTAATTTCAAACCATGTTCATGCCAATGCAAAACTGTTACTAGGTAGGAGAAAGTAACTGTTTTCATAGAATAAACAACCTCCATCCATTTCCCTGAGGAAAGGGCCATCTTACTTGTTGAGATTTGCCGCCTTCCAGCTTCTTAGACTTTGGTATGTGTTTGATATGTACCCAACCATTGCTTTTAAAGCTTTTGTTTTACATTTAGAATAGAGCAAAAATAGTTATCCTTAGGTAAATAGTTAAATCTTTGTCATCAAATGCTGAATTTTCATGCAAAGAAAGTGTTCTTTCATATGAAGTAGACCAGATGTCATGAAGTGCAAAATAAACATTAACTGATTCTGACTTTAGCGATGTATGTTTAACACAGAGAGGTGATTGTTTGAGTTATTTTCTTTCTTGTAACTCAGATGTAACTGAAAAATGTATTTAGCTTTTTTATATTGCTCACATTACAATCTTCCTCCTCTCATCACCTGAGTGTATTATTAAGCTTTCAGAGGTTGTTACTAGTACCCATGTGTGGTAGTAAATACTGATTTACAACCTTTTAAAAAATGTGGGAAACATTCATGTGTTCCTTATTTTTGTGGTATCAAAATGCTGGAAAAGGTTCACACTTAGGTAAAAGTAATCTGGGTCAAAGACAAGTGAACAGCAGAAAAGTCCAAATATTTAAAATAAAAATGTGAAAAGAACATGGATGATTGGCCAATTATACTTTGGAAACAATTTCACCAAATAAAAAGACTCTGAGTTAATTTACTTTAAGCAGACCCAGGAGTGCTGAGTTTACAAATGTACACCTGGTTCTGGAATAGTTTCTGCTTGAAGCAGACTGTTCCTGAGAATATGATTATATCCTGTGACCAAATTTGTAATTGCATATATTTCAGATACTTTTTTATAGTTAAATTTCAGCTTTTCTTAGCTTCCTAGGCTACTCCTCAGTGAGTGCTGAAGAGATTCTTAAAAGCAAAGAGGTTTGGGATTTCTAAGCTGTCAGATACTGTGCTTTTATGAAGCAAAATATCTTGAGGTGAAAAAAAGGAAATCAAAATGCAACTTGCTAGCCCATGGGAACTGAAGCAATAGTGTAACCTTCAGTGACTAGGGCCAAAGCCTTATCCAGTGTTAACTTGAGACAGGTGCAGTATTGGATTAGTGCCCTCTATTTTTGTTATTAAGAAAGTTCAATTACTATTATGGCAGTTATCCCAAGGCTTTTTTTTTTTTTTCTTCCATCTTCTCTCAGCTTACACTGCGTGATAAGAAGTTGATCCCTGTCACAATAATCAAACAAGGTAAATTTGTATATTTTTTTAATTGATTCTTATGCTCTTCAAGAGCAACTTAAAATGAAAAAAAAAAATTCTGGCTTGGATGTGAATGTCATGAAATCTTCCCTTTAGAATGGGTGCAACCTTACAAACGATCATATCCTTTAATTACAAATACTCTTAAGCGTTACTTATCTGTGTTAATAAAATGAGCTATTACATTACATTATAAACAATGACTTAGTTGAGTCATTGAATGTCTACCAGTTCTGATTTCTGCTAGTATCCATTCTTTTTCAACTGGATTGTGCAGGTATGTTGGTCTGCCAGCTGTGCATACTTGATAGCCAGCCATGAAGGGCAGCAGTATGGATAAGATTCATGACACCAAACTTTTTTGCGGGTGTCTTCAGATAAACCACTGACTTAGACTCTCTTCTTTTCTTTCCCTGGTCAGTGGAGGGGGATATCTACACTAGACTTAAACATATTGCCCTTTAGAAACTCGTGTTTCTCTCTAGTAGTGAGAGGTGGTATCATACTGCAATATTTGAAAATGAACTGCTTAAATATAGCTGATAGAAAATGAGCTGCAGATTAAAACTTGCTAACAGAATTGTGTTGTGAATAATTTTAAGTAACAAAATAAAGCAAATTGTCTTTGGAGGTAGCTCACAGTTCAGGGACAGGAAAACACTGGAAAGTGGTGTGAAAGGAAAAAATGGTACTTGCCATTAAAATAAAACTGTACTGGCATTTACTTCACGTGCATCTTTTTTTGAGGTGCCGTGAATGGCAGGGTAATTAGATGGCCTGGAGCTGGCGCTGTATTAACATAAGCATAGAATGTCATTTTTCACCAAGGATACAAAACTGATATGCTAGGGGAAAGAGATGGATAGTTAACAGATGAAACACAGTTTGCAATCTCTTAAACTGAATGTAAATATAGAAAAGATTAGCATGGTGTCATCATCTCCAAGTATGAAGATGGGGGAAGGTTTTTGGATTGCTGAGGTTTGTCTCAGGTGTGATTTTGTTTCTTGTTTTGGGTCTTTAAAATTATTTTCTAATACCCCTGTGTTGTCTCCACAGTTATTCAAAATCGGACCCAGTCAAAAACTCCAGATAGTTCTTCTCTGCCAGGAGCAATATTAGGTGACTAGAAGATATTTTTATTATTTTTCCTTATCTTTGGCTGAAAATTAAAACTGTGTGAATAATTTTAATTTTCTTGATCTTGATAGTTATTTCCTTGCATATGAAAGGGTATTTTGCAACTGCTTCAGGCAGTATTTGTTATATTATTGTGGTGTTACAGGTGATTCAAGGATGATGTAGTCTAAGGGAAATAGAATAATTTTATTATCATAGCATTCAAAAGAAAATAAAGTATTATTGGCTTAGAACATAAAAATAGGGGAAAATCTATCATATGGTGCTTAGTGTGGTGAACTACTGGTCTGCCTGAAATAGATAGGAAAGGCTCACTGAATCATGCACCTTGTGGCCAATTTATTCCTGGATATGGGAAGGTGTTTAGTTCTTTATATATATGGAAATACTTTCTAGAACTACGTAACTTTGGCTTGTTTGCTTTGTGTGACTTGTAAGGTATTGATGTGAATGTGAATCTGAAACTTAATAACCACATATGGTGTTGAGTCTTCTTGGCCCACCAGACAGAATGTCCCAGCATCTGTAATGCTACAGTACTCCAGGGCTATATGCTCCAGTATTGAATTGTTTTCCATTCTGATTAATCTTGAAATAATGGTAATACAGTGAGTGGTGTAAAGGGGAAATAGCACCAAATGGGAGTGGTAATTACTGAATAAAACTAACTCATTTCCCAGATACTCAGATTAAACTCCCAATGGTTCAGTAGAAGTTTCTCACGTATATCAGAGGGCAGATTGTGTATTTTTAATCTCTTCTGGAATTAATGACACACATCTTTCTGTGTAGTGCACCTTATTGTTCCAGGTCTCAATGAAACTCAGCAGAAACTTCCTCCTCTCCTGACAATTGATGACATACCTCAAGCATCCAGGAAAAAGCTGGGTAAGCAGAAATTAAATAAACTTGCATTGTTCATGAGTGGTATCAGAAGCACAGCGATGTGAGGGATCCTGTATGCAAGCAGAAAAGTCATTTTTTTCCCCCTCTTTTACCTTCTTTTTTTCTATTTGTCTATTTCATTATTAGCTTGGGCTTGTAAGGATTCACAGAAATTCAATTATTTCAAAACATCTGAATGGGTTTTTAAGGTATTTTGCAGCCACTTAAAAGAATATGCAGTAGTTTTGATCCTAGCATATCATTGTAGAGGAAAGAAGGGAAACCAGTAATGTTTCTGGACTACAAGGGTTTTGTTTTGTTTTACAATGTAACTTTTTTTTTTTTTTCATAGGTTATAGCTTTCAATATATGTCTTTAAAAATTGAAGTTTGTGTGTCCATTTGAAAGACCGTATTTTCCATTAATTTTAATTCTATGATTTCTGTCTTGCATGTACGTGAGAAAGTGTTTCATTAAGAGATTCTTATTTATTATCTGTAATTAAATCCATGAAAAAATGATAGCCAGAAATTAGCATGTTTCAGTACAAGTTTCATGTGTATCTTGTGAATATGACTGAAACTTGCAGGAAAAAGGTGAATTGAGGCTTTTGTTTCAGATCTGTAAACTAACATATCATCAGTGAATAGCATAACTGTGGGAAGTACAACTATCTTTAAAAACTTTAATAATGCCTTCAGTGCATGTTTCACAGATCCCTTGAGTAGAGTTCTGGAGCTGATGACTTTTGGCTTGGCTAGTCTTAATACTTAATTTGAACTCTGAACAACTGGGTCAGATTCTTTTCCTTTCTTATTTCTGCTGTGTTTAATTTACTGTTACTCCATTGCTGGTCATGGCACATTCTCAGACTGACTTGCTTTGCAGTGAGAAAACAGCAGTGCTTGTTCCTGTTAAGATACTGTGTATGTGTAAGGGTAGAGCTACACAGTAGAATAATATTTGAATCTGTTTGAGTGAGAATATATTTGGACTGAGACTGAGTTGCTTAAAAATTAGTATCTGGAAGTATTTACCAGCGTTTGACAGACAAATAAAGTTAGCGTGGTCTGTCGCTACTGAAAATTTAAATGAAGTGGAAAAACTCAATTGCCGTTTTTACATTACAGAGCATTACAGGTTTTCAGTCATGATGATAAAATTAATCACATCATTAACTTGATTACTAATTTTTTTTTTAACAACAAGCATAGAAAACAAGCTGTTTATTATTACTACCTTGGTTTTATTATGTATGTGATGTACAGTTAAAAAAGTTACCAATAAAACTCAATAGACCATATTTTCAGAAATCCATTTTTCATGCCCTTCACTTTTAGTAAATGCTATTTTAAGATCTCCAATATTAGTTTTGGACTAGAGTATGTAGAACTTTCATATTTGTTTTCATTTTCTACCAGTGAAATTATATCTTTCTGCAGGAAAAAAACATTGTGTTTTCAGATAGACCATAAGGTTCAATAGTGTGTGCAGTAAAAATGGCAGCATGTGACTATGAGCAAAAGATGGGGAAAAAGACAAAGGTAGTGTCAGTTGTGCTAGAGACATCCAACTTCCTCAGCTGGCTAAGCGTAGAACTTAGACTTCTAAGTTTAAATGCTCTGATACGTCTAAAATAGATGGCTGGTGTGATGCCAGTTTGGAGCCAGTCTTTATGGTAAATTGTACAAACACCTCTGTGAAAATAACCAGGGTGGACAAGTGATGTTTTGTTCCATTCTATTTACTGTGTTTTCCTTACCAGAGAACATGAAGTACATGGGTGTACACACAAAGGACTACTGGATTTCAAAGGAGTATAAAACAGGGAAGAGTCACTGCTTAGAAAGCAAAAATACTCCGAGAAATGATTTAAATGCATAAAATTATTCACAAACAGACATATTGTCCAAATCTATATAGATATTCTTCACTGAAGTGAATGATATATGTCTACAATACAATGCAATAAGGCTTATGCTCTGTGTTAATTTATGACCAATTATGATTTGCTGGAATACTGCAACTATTCTAATTCTCTATTATTTAGAAAAGTCAAAATAATATGTCACAGTATCATTATTTATTGAATTCTCAAAATATTTTTTTTTCCTGTTTAAGTCTTAAGTCAAAAACTTATTAGCTCTTTTAAAAAGAGTGATAATAAAACCCCACAAAATATATTGCCTTAGTCCTTAGTGGAAAAAAAACAACCCAGGTATATTATTCAAGTGAAAATTAATATTCCCTATATCCTCTGCTGGAATATCTTTATATCTGTTGGAATAGGCGGCTATTGTCATAGCCTGCAATTGTTAGAAATTATGTAAAGGAAAATAAGGACTTGACTCGTGTGACAATTCCTTTGTGTTTGAAAATTTATTAGACTATTCCCATATAACACTTAGGACTGCATTACATTACATATTTGAATTTTGAGAGGCATTTTTGCTATTAATGCTCTCATGCTAGACAAATAAAAAACTCTGAAAACTCTCCTGCACTGTGAAAATGATTCATAAGGCATTCATTTCCTTGCTGTAAATGTTATTTTTAAGGAATCTTGTTCTGAACAAAACAATGCCAAAAATACATGTGTTTAACATAGCTAGATAGATGCTTGTACTGATTGTACAGTGGGAGTTCATTGATTCCTAAAGGTATTCAGTTTTTCACATTTATCCGTGTTGGTTTACTTTGGCAAACTGAAGTGGGACAGAAATAAATCTGGAGTAGAACAGAGCAGGTACAGCTTTGCAACTACTCTCTAATGTCTTTCTACCTTTAGCTAAGAATGAAACTCGAGTATGGCCTGCTGAATCCAAAACACCAGAAGTTCAAGAAATCTCCCCACAGTCCCTCCCAGGTAATGAAAATTCTATTTTTAGAAACTCTGTGGAATATCTTTGCCAAATATATAAACTAAAATAAAATCCATCTTTGCATTGCTTAATCTGCAGTTAAAGGCAGTAGTTGGAAAACAGAAGGATAATGTAGATGAATTAGCAGCTGTGGGTGGTAAATGTGGATAAAAATTTGAATCTACTTTTGGAGGAAAGTTTCAGATGCTACAATTGTTGGGTTTATAAAAACCCTTAGAATTAGAACCATATCTTTGTGATGTGCTGGATACCTTGAAATTGTGAAAAATGGCAAAACAAGGGTACACTTGTGATGCACCTTGAACTTCTGACTTTCACGAAATATATGAAAAAGAAAGTGGGGGATAAGAGCATAATTGTGCAAAATGCACACGTGAGGTTAAGATGGAACAGTCACAGTAACAGGCTCCATTTCAGAGGTGTAGAGGATGACAGCGTGATCCATTTAAGTTCAGTTTTGAACACATTAATCTTGACCACATTCTGTGGACTTACTCATCCTAGTAAAGTAAATGGGAGCTGTTCACATACATAGGAAAGGAATATAAAATTTGATCCTAGACTCATATTCAATGTTTTATGTCTGTGAAATGAATGTTAACTTGCATATTTGGAAGACTGAAGTTTTTTATGATCTACCTGTGGCTGAAGAATATAACTTATTTAAAACAGCATACTCAGCTGCTGGTTTCTTAAACTGTACAAAAACATGAAGTGAAATATTAAAGCTCGCAAGATGTGCTGCCTCCATTTGCTTAGGAAACAAGTTAGTGTAACATAGACAAACTACTTCATCAAGTTGTATGACAAGTATAGCCCTATATTTTAACATTTGCAATCTCAGGGTAAAAAGATGGGAGAGAACTAAACTGTTCAGAGTCAAAAGAAGAAGAGTGACTTTCCACCCACTTTATCAACCCACATTTCAGAATGGTTTAAGTGGGTATATGCCTCTCTTCATTTTCTGTAGTCTGGCTTTTATCCTATAACTGAGACTGAAGTCTTGATTCTGCTGTCATTAGAGACAATAGTTGGCTTCTGCCAACTTCTTTGCTGAGAGGAAGAAAGGAGGCTTGAGCAGTGGCAAGACTTTAAAATGAAAAAATAATTTGAGGAAACCTTCCAGCAGTTTGCTTTGGTTTAGTTTAGTCATGTTATGTGATCTTGCTAGCATAATTCTATTCCATCTATCAAGTATTTCCTGGCTGGCTGAAATGGTGTAGCACATTATTCCTTTGACATCATAAGATTCACATGGATACTGCCCTTAAATATGACTATATTAATTTTATTCCTTACGTACGTCAAACATACAGTACTTTACATCATCAGATCAACACAGTCTTTAATTAAAACAACCAAACAAACAAAAAAAACCCCTCCCAAAGAATATGTAGGGAATAAAAGAGACGTAGGATGAAGTAATGCAGCAAACTCATGTAATGATTTGCAAACATCTTTTAGATTAAACAATCTATCATTCTTTTTCTCTGAAAAATTTTGCAGAATTTTATTTTGCACTCAATAGATAAGTGCTATTTGCCAAATTCTAGTTCTAACCATCAATTATTTTCTACAAAACCTTCATATGGATAGCTCTTTTCTGCTCATCCTAAATATTAAGAGAAGAAAGATGGTCCTCCACAGGAATTTATTCTCGAAGGGGGCTCTGAACTTTACAAGTTTAGCATATGTGTAATAAGCAGATTGCTTTTAATTGGAAATGTGTGGATATTTTTAAAAAAAATTTAAAGGCTTTTTTTGTTTGGTTGGTTTTGTTTATTTTACAGTTTGAGGTCTTTTGTGGACTTAAATTCTATAGTTATTTTACCAAATTATTTACCTTGTCTAAGTAAAGTGAGAACTGAATGCATAAATTTATGTAATCGAATCTCCTGCAAAATCTTAGTCTGCAGGCTTGCATTTGTCTAATCAAAAGACATAATTCCTTGTGCTGGAATTTACTGGTTAAACAGGTAAACAGTGTGAAATCTGGCACCAGAATTGATATATTGCCTGGGGAGGAGAGAACCAGTCCCTTCCATTTCCTTTCCTTTGTGTTCTGTAATTATGTTTCTGTACTTGACATGCAGTAATTCTAACCATAAACATTGTCATCTC